TCCCAAAACCTTTGGAAAGATTACCAGTCCGTATATAGCCAAGGCAAATATGTCTAACCCTCGTTCTTCATTGATGTGTTGCATCAGAAACTCATGAAAGAACTTCCAAGGTAAGCAAACCTGTTCTTGTTTCTTCTTTGTATGAGAATCCACAACTTCCTTGTCTATCCCCATGAGTTGAGCCAGACTTTTACGAAATCCTGACTTATGTTTTTTTGACATATATCTTGTCAGGAGTCTTTAGATGCAAACCCAATAAGACCGAATATTCTTCTATGGTGGGAGTCATATCAGCTTCGTTAAAGATAAAACACCTGTATGCAGGATCCCAGAATTGTGTTGCAGCTCTAATTAGTTGATCGTCAACAGCCACTGCTAGAAGGTGTGCGATATGCCCATGCTTCTGACAAAACTGCCCTTGTCTTGACAGACTCATCTTTTTCCAGATGTCAACCAAATCTTCTAAATTATTCTGTTTGAGGAGGACAGATGTTTCTGGAGACAGAGTAGACTCATACCCAATTGGCAAGCAATCTCCCATCTTCAATGAGTCTTTCTGATAGGGCCCTTACTTCATTAGGTGTCCCACAGGGTGCTAATACTGATGAAGAGCAAACTAGGCGTTCATTGGTGTCCATGAAAAAAATTTGTTGAAGACCGTTTTCAAGCAAATGTTCTTTTATGCAACCTTATGATATGCGTATGAACCAATGCAAAGAAATAAGAAAAAGTTAGTATACCCAGAAAAGAACAAATAACTAAGTAATTTACACATCACACATCACACAAAATAAAAGGGAGGATCCTATGCTTTTGGTCAATTCTAAAAGGAAGAGTGATAGCTCTATCTAAGGTTAGGCATTCTTAAGGTTCACTATATGTGGTTTTAGGGTCAAAGTCTAAAGGTCCTCAAATTGTTCCTTACATCCTTGTCCATCACAGACTAGTAAGGCACCCTAATCCTCACCCATTACAGGCTACAAGCGGAAAAGGTTCAATTTGAGTGGGAGTATTTCGCTAGCCACTGCGGAGGCATTAGACCTCACGAAAGCAATAGGTACTTTACTCCCTCCTAGAGGGACGGAGCTCGGGTATAGAGCTCATGTTATGCACATGCACATGAATGACATAATTAACAAAGTGAATAAACATGAATGAACAATAATACATATATACAAAAGGGTTCAATTTTATTAGGCTTTTGGATAACACAAATTATTTGCTGGCCTGACTCTCAAGGTCCCCAGTGGAGTCGCCAAGCTGTCATAACGTCTAGATCCGGGGATCTATCGCTAGACATTGACTTAAAGGAGTCGCCACCAATCTTTTTTATCTAGGTGCGATTGGCCACCTAAAGAATTTGTCCTTTCAGGGAACACCTAAGTTTAAGGGTCCCTAAAAGAATAGGTTCAGGTCTGCTAACCAGAACAGGGTTCGGGAGTTCGGTTATGTGTGAGGAAGGTTATAGCACCCTCACAACGCCCATCAAAAGATGGTACCAGCTTGAATTTGTGTTATCCAAAAGCCTTAAAATTTTACCAAGTAATTAATTATTGGAAATTTTCTCAATTGACTCTAATACTTTTAGCAGAAAATTGAGAAAATTCTCTCACCTCAAGAGTATGCAAGAAAAACTACTGTTTCACTTGCAGAGGCTCCGTCGTCGGATTATTTAAAGAAAAAACAAAATCAAAATTAAGATAGAAAAGAAGGAAAGAATGAATTTTTTTTTAGGGGAAAATTGATACTTTCAACTTTTCCCCAAAAATATTTTTTGAAAATTTCGATTTTCAAGGAAAATTGATACTTTCAACTTTTCCTCAAAAACCCTTTTTTTGAAAATTTATTTCTAAGGAAAATTGATACTTTCAACTTTTCCCTAAAAATATTTTTTTTTGAAAATTTTTATTTTTATTTAAAGAAAATAAATAAAAAGAATATTACATAAACCTAATCTAATAAATAAAAAATAAACAAATAAACAAAGAAAAAAAATTCAAAGAAAAAAAAAAAAAAAAAAAAAAACCTGGAGCGGCTCGGATCGCGGCTCGGCTCGGCTCGGCTTGGAGGGGCTGCACGCGCGGGTCAGAAAGCGGGTCGACGCCCGGGTCGGGTTGGGTTTTCGGCAAAACGCGCGGATCCTCTGATTAACTTAAAGCCAAAACGACGTCGTTTTGGGAGGGTATAAAAGGCACTACCCTCTGTTTTTCGGCAAACCGCCCCTCTTCTCTCTCTCTCTTCTTCCTTCTTTCCTCTACCTTCTCTCTAAAGACTGAAGAACACCGGTGGGATTTCGTCGGATTCTGGAAATTCTCGCCGGAATCTGGAGAATTTCGCCGGAAGTTCGCCGGAAGTTGCCGAAAGATCGCCGGTTTCTGGGATTCTTCGCCGGAAACTGGGATTGTTGCCGGAAACTTCAAGTTTGGCCGGAACTATCGCCGGAAAATTCAAACTTCGCTAGAATTTTTGCCGGAATCTGGAAATTTCCCAGAAATTTCCAGAAAATTTTTTCGCCAAGAATTTCTAGAAATTTTTTTCTCACTCCCAGACCACTCCTAAACTTTTCCTAGCTTCCTATACGCCTCCTTTTCTCTCAAATCAGTAGCTTTGCTTACTGTTTTCTGTGTCTCCTTGAACTGTTCCAGGAGGTGCTTTATATAGGGATTGATCAGGAGTTTCTGATCAATCCCAATTCCTCCTTGGACGGGAATTCAGTCTTTGAATCCAATTGGACTCTCTTGATTGAATTCCCATTCCCGGTAGGATTCTTCAGCTTCAATCTTAGCCCTCCAAAATCAAAAATAAAAAAATACTAGATAATAATCAGATAAATCAAAAGATATTTAAAAAAAAAAATATCTGATAATCAGGAAAAATCAGAACAGATAATTAAAAATAATAATAATAATAATAATAATAATAAAATAAAATAAACCCAAGTATATATTACAAAAAAATAATAATAATAATATATAACTGTATAAATAAAATACATATAAATCTAATCTGAATAAAAATAAATAAATAAATAAAGATATACATAATAATAATAATAATAATAATAGAATACATAAAATACAAAAAAAGAAGAAAAAAAAATATACAGGATTGAAATGGGCCTTACCCATTTGGGTCAGGCCCAATTGATCTGGGCCCGGACCTAATTGGGTGTCTACACCAAGAAAATCCTTCTTTAATTTTGTCTATATCTAACCATGAAATAGAATAGAACCCTTTTTGTAGAGATTTCAAATTTTGAGCATCTTATCAAATATAATATATGTATATACCCACATCTTGCACAGCTTGAATATTGAACACCATATCATTTACAAAAACATCTTACTCAGCTTTTACCTTCAATCAATTGATTATTTACTCTTTCAACTTCATCGTTTTTCATGTTCTCACTTAATTTAGTTATTCAAATTACTTGTATAAAAAAGAAAAAGGAGGATCTACATACACAAAGTAAAATTTTTTTAATTTTATACATTTTTAATTATTAATTTTAATAAATCCAAATGATAAGATTAAATTATTTTTTTTTTATTTATTTCTCTCATTCATTAAATTTATTAAAATCAAAAGTTAAAAAAATATATAAAAATAAAAAATTTGAGGATATATTAATTGGTCAATTACCCAAACATGATTGTGTCGATGCATTTTAAATTGACGCCAAGAAAAACATCGCAATAAGACTCAAATTAATTAAATCACTTAAGAACAAAACTCGCCAAATTAAACCTATCCTTATTGGTTTTAAATTCAATAATTTACAATAAATCCAACTACTTTTATTTTAATTAATATATTAAAATTATATCAAATAAAACAACATAAGAGGCGATTATATATTTAGTAGACAATATACTAAATATACTTAAATAAAAACTATAAGCAAATCAAATTAATCATAGGTTATTTGTATGAATTGCCTAACTGTATGTTGGCATCAATGGCTATTGATTTCAAATATAATGAAATAAAAATTTGACTATTTTTCCTAAAACAAAAAAATATGTAATTATATGAAACAATATTAATTAGTATATAAATAAATATACAGTTTATCTTTATTTATTAATAATTAATACTTGATTATATAAAATCATTCAATTCAATTGATTCTATATATCTTGAATATGTAGAGTATCGTGTTAATCAAGTTTATGAAACGTAAACTCAATTGATTTTAATTCAAGTTTTGCGCATTGTGATTCACCTTTTAAATTTATCTGACTCAATTTTTTTTTTTATATTAACTCAATTATAATTTATTTATTTTTAACCAAGTTTATCCAATTTTTTTTTGTTTTAACATTTTAATTTTAATCTTTAATAATCAAAACAAGTAAAAGATCAACATAAATCGAATGTTTAATCAATTGAATATTTTATTGAGATAGGTATTGTTCAAGACCGAAGAATATTCTGAAGAATTTTCTTATTATAGTCTATAACCAATAATATATTTATATAAGCATTGATATTGAGAAATATCCATATTAATTCTCTCCACAGACAATATTAAAGGTGCATCTCCTAAAATAATTGCTTTTATGATTATGCCAATTGAATAAACACAAACATGAGTAAAAATGTGAGGCAAAAGTAAACAGTAGTTTGAATTTGAAGCTTAATTCCAGTAATACTGAAGTTCGACCCTTAATATTTGTAAATTATTTTTTTTTTTTCTTAAACTTTAATCTCCATTGTAAAATAAAAAAAAAATCACAGTTTATTATATAAAACCTATTCAATGCCTTTTAATATTGTCTGCAACTTATACCTTGAAATATTCTCGTTGTCTTCGTTATGGACGGCACAGTTCCCTCCAATTTCTGGTATACCCTACGAATATCCGAAAGTATATCTCATCGGCTGTGATATCCTCAAGAATCCTTCCAATCTCTTCCAGCGCCAATGCCCCCACAGACAAATTAGAAGAGCGATGGAAGAAAAAAATTTTTTTAACTCTTTTCAACAAATTAAAACTTAATTCCATCATTGGATAGCACATCTCCATCCTCATGCCATGTTCATTCATTTCACATTTCTATCATAAACCCATTTAAAATTGCTACCTTTAAAAGCCACATTATGAATAATTATAACCCAACTCTTCATCAAAGGCTAGCTGCTCCAAATAAAAGACCTAGCTAGTAGTAGTTGCCTATAATGGAGGCAGCTCCTCCTTCACCATCGATTGTTGTTGTTGCATTCGATGCAACTAAGGACAATAACGAACGTGAGCTTAGAACCACAATTAATAATCTACGACTCAGAGGTGACATTTTACGTGTTGGGGATAGGCTTGTTATGCTTGGAGTTTTGCATAGAGTCACTCACCCTAGTAAGTTATGTCTTTCATCATGTTTTTCTTCTTCATGGCATTAAAGGGCGTTAGACCCCTTTTTTTCTTTCTTTTTATTGGTTTATATTGGCAAATAATTATGGTTTTGATATATCAATTAGGATTTGGAATATAATTATGAAACGATTATTCAATGAATTTTCTATTTGTTATGATTATTGATGAATAAATCGATTCCATCTATTAATTCCATTAAAACCCAAACCCACAAATCTAAATCACTATTGATACAAACCAAGATTGCCTTAGTTGCTTGATGAAGTTACACATACAACATTAAATAGCATGTGTCAACTCACTGTTTTCCTTTTCTGTTCCCCTGTCTTCTGTCCTTCTCTGGGTTGGAACAGTGGGTTACCAAACCAAACCATGTCCTGAATTTTTTTTATCAAGTGTTCGTGCCATGGAGGAAGAAATCTCAACCAAGGTTGATGCTTATATTAACATGCTCCGACAAAGTGCTGAAGATTGTGAAGATTTATGGGTAACTTTTCTTTTATTATTTTTCATAGATACAATATGCTTCTTTTTATTGTTTTATTTTCCTTTAAATTTTCTGATAATAAGAAAGTAATTGACCATACAGAACACAGGCCCAATGTCACTTTCTCACTCACTAAGGTCGCATTAGGGTGGCTACGCATCACAGCAGACTTAGGTTGCTTGTTGCTGTTGGTCTATTCTAGACCGTTAAACAAGGGAATGGTTCCATAACTAGAGCTACTTAATATCAAAGGATAGAGTTTTGAAGTTGGGTGCTTTTTAAAATTTTTTCTGTAAGGAACTAATTTCACAGGTTTTTGTTGATCAGGGAAAATTGAGTGGGGTGGAATTATGGGTTAACAAAACGGATGGGTTCGGATTAGGTTCAGTTCGAGTTGGAGCTAAAAATATCAGTCTGAAAAAGGTTGACAAGGTAACAATCTAGAAATATATCAGTCTAGTAATACATCCAACAATTTGGCATATGATGTGGTGCGAACAGACAAAATTTGAAAGTCTAAATCTTCGGATTTTCAACTTGGCGGTCCCTGTCCCAGGTTAAATCCTCGGAAGAGTAGATGTGTTGTATGGGGGCAGACTACCCCTTGTTTTGTAGCCCAAGAAATGAGTAAACCTCCTTTTGGACAGGGAAAAAGCATCTCTTAATTTGTTTAACATGTTGTGATAGTTTAAATCTGAATTTTCCACAGATTCTGTCAAGACTCTCTTGGTCCATTAGGTAAACTGCTTATGCATTTACTGCCAAATTACTTACTCTTTGAGACATTGTAATCCAAATTCCATTATCCCTCTAGATGTAGGACAAAGTGAGATGCGTCACCAAATTTCCAAGTTCCTGGAACAAATCCTTTGTGGAGATAATATGGAAAATAGCATCTTGTATAGTTTGTTTTTCTCCCTTCCAATATACTGTAAACTTAACTGATATATAAAAATTAATAGGACTTTGTTAAAAGGGTTCATTGGATTTATTATGGGTGTAAACTTATACCTGAGCAAACTGGGCCTATCCAAGTCTATCCATATTACAAACACTGTACAGCTGGAAGCAGCATGCACAGATTTAATCTGAATTCTGAGCCCTCTCCCCACTTCTTTATTTTGCTTTCTGTTAGTGATAATAACACTTCTTTCATATTTAGGTGAGCATTGAAGTTAAAATTACAGCTGGAATTCCCATTAAGAATGTTATTCTACAAGAGGTGCTAACCTCTAAGGCCGCATGGGTTATACTAGATAGGTAAATATTCTGTATTATCGATATATATATATATATGGACCATCATTTACTTTAGATAGATGCATAATTATTTATTTTATGTTGTCTCATGAAGATTATTCCTTCACTAATGAAGGTTTTCCGTTCCTCCGGCCTCTACTCTGACACTTTCTTGAGGATACTTGGTGTTTGATTTTGCTCTATCTCATATATCAATATGTAGCATAGTATATACATCATCTTCAATATTGGTTTCAATGGAAAAGAAATTGCTGTCTCTTCTATTTGCAAAGCTTTGGTGGGTGATGATGAGTGGATGAAGACTGAAAGAGTTGCTGCTTTACTTTCTTGTTTTTTATCCAGAATGAGCAGTTAATTAATCTTGGTATATATCAAAATTATCATTTTAGTATCAAGGCAAGTAATAGATAAGACATACATATCTTGTAAATGAAAATTTTATACGAATCTGATCATATGTTATCTTTGTTTTCTCATTTTTGATGAAAGCATCATAGTCACAGTACATGTCTCTTTGTCACTTCAGCTGCTTCCTTTCTGTATTCCTTTCACTTAGTCATGACATGACTGATACTCTTAGCAGGCACCTTGGACGGTGTATGAAGTTGTATGTTAACCAGATACCTTGCAAGGTTGCATTAGTTCATGACAGCTTGTATGTGGAAGTTTTGAGAAATCATACTATAAGTGTAACGGATGCCGTAGGACACAAGTCGTTTTATTCCATGTCGAAGCCTGTGCCCATATCAAACTTTCACGGGAGTGAAAATATCGATCAGTCAGAAATCTCTTTAAGAAGCTACTCCTTGAGCATGAGCTCCTTTGGAAACTCCAAGAGCGGCCACTTGATGCCTTCATTTACATTAAAATCAGAGGAGCATAAATTTTTATCGGATTTTGGGTCTTCTTCTAAGCAGGAAAAATCAAGTAATTCATCAGGCTTGGCAATTTTACATAAGTAGACGTACTATATTGCTTTTCAGATCCAATTCTAAACCTTCTGCCTTTTGCTTTGAATGTTAATTTCTTTCCTACTTTAGCATCAGTAATTGTTGATCAGTTCCATCAGCATTAACAAAGAGTACATATATCTTTTCCTTTCAGATACATATACCAGAGGAGAAAATAAGCTACCTACTACTTTAAATATTGTCCAAAAGCAACAAAGAAGTGCCTTCCGCAATAAATTCTCAGGAGCACCTCTTCTTTGTGTTGCTTGTGGGCTAAAGACTGAATTGTATATCCAAGATTCTAGGACATTCACTTATTCTGCGATTCAACAAGCAACCGATGACTTTTCCAACAAAAACTTGCTAGGAGAAGGTGGATATGGTCATGTATATAAGGGTAAGCTTAAAGATGGACAGCTGATTGCAGCAAAGGTAAGGAAAAAAGAAAGTACCCAAGGATTTGATGAATTTAATTCTGAAGTATCTGTCTTAAGTTTTGCTCGTCATAAGAACATTGTGATGCTGCTGGGTTATTGTTGCAAGGAGAACCTCAACATTTTGGTATACGAGTATATATGCAACAAGTCTCTTGATTGGCATTTATTTGGTAACTAACAAATTTTTAAAGAACCAATTTGATTTTATGTATCACCTCATCTGTTTCTTTCATTAAATTTCTACATTGAATTACCTTCTTTAAATTTTCTATATGTTTGGAATCGGGGACATTTCCACAGATAATACAGAAAATGTTCTTGACTGGCACCAAAGACGTGCTATTGCAATTGGCACTGCAAAGGGTTTGCGTTTTCTACATGAAGAATGCCGCGGAGGTCCCATAATTCATAGGGACATGCGTCCAAGCAATATACTTCTCACACATGACTTTGTTCCAATGGTAAATTATGTTCTTTATTTAATGTTTACTTTTCTGATAAGGAGTTAACTAACATAGTTTTGTCATTCCAACTACCATTCGAGCTTAATGTGCGTCAGATGTACATTACATCACTCTTACTTCAATAGTAGCAACATGAGTTAATCATTTATTCTTTAAAACGTAAACCATTCATACAATTAGCTAGGCATCAACAGGTGATTAAGGTAAAGTCCATGGTAGCCAGCCCATGTGCTTTATTAAACATATTATTTGCATCCGTCTTAATTTATTAGCTCATGCAGCTGCAAAACCAAGAGAAAACAAAAGCTTTTAACTCAATTTAAGGCCATATGCTTAGAAAGCGCAAGAAAAGAAAAATTTTTTTGGCTAGAAAGCTCAGTAAATTTTGGTCCTCTTCGGGCTTCCTCTCTTTCTCTTGACTTGGTCATCTTCTATTATATCACACCTTTTCATGCAGGCTTGTAGGTCTGCTCTTTACATGTCCAAACTACCTTCATTTTGTTTCACTAATTTTCTCCTCAATGGTCAATGTGCATTCATTTCTAATCTTGTTCTTGCTTGTATGCCTATATATCCATGCACATGTTTTGCATATATGTATTGATACTTTCTCAGCTTAAGCAATTAACATATTGCTTATGTAATGAGGCATTAAACCACCATAATCTCCCAAATCCATAAACACTTGTAGGGCACATTGTTGAGGAAAAATTTAGGCCAACATGTCATAGAGACTACCATTAATTGATGTCCTGCTGAAGTCAAAAGATTGTCTCGTATCACTTAGAAATTTCAATATATCAGGAAGCTGATTTTTTGTTAGCCTTGCTGACCACCACATGTTTACTTTGGATAAAGTGAATGATTGTTCTCATTATATGAACAACAGTAAGGCTTTTCGTATGCATGCTTCTCTTACTGAATAACAATTTTATGTAATAAATCAAATGATCGTTGTGATAATTAATAATTAATGTGTGACAGGATCTCCAGAATAAGTTTCTCCTTTTGGTCCTATCTTTCAATTGGTGTTACCCTATGATTTAGAAACAAGGTGAAAAGTTTTTTTTCCATGAAACTGCATGTTCACTGAAATGATTTTTTCCACACACAGCTTGGTGACTTTGGTCTTGCCAGATGGAAGATAAATGATGATACTCTACAAACAAAAATTCTTGGAACATTAGGGTAGGACTCCAATGACCTCTCATTTCATTTTCAGACTGTATAACATTGATGTGCCGATTATGGCCTGATTTTTCTAGTTAAACTAATTTAAGTGGACCTTTGGTTCATGTAGATACCTTGCTCCAGAGTATGCCGAGAATGGATTTGTTTCAGTGAGGACAGATATCTATGCATACGGGATAGTTTTGCTACAACTAATATCAGGACGCAAAGTAATTGATCCGGAAAACAAAGGGAAAAATTTATCTCTGCGACAGTGGGTATGTTGGTTTCATTGGCCAGAACTTTTATTGTTTATCACATTATTTGCGTTTTGCTATACATGCTGGTCAGGCATTGGTCAATTTACTAATTTTCATTGCTCTGATGCTATTTGACCATTTAGGCAGAACCATTGATTGAAAAGTTTGCGCTACATGAGCTCATTGATCCTCGTATTCGGGAGTCGTATGACAAATATCAACTGTACCTCATGGTCAAGACAGCTTACTTATGCGTGCAAACAAGCCCTGAAATGAGACCATCAATAGCGGAGGTAATGACCCTTGACGCATTCCATATGGTCATCAGAACTTATTTTAAATCAATTATATTCAAAACAAGAGCATTATCACTTTAGATTACTTCCCTAATGATGTCCGGAATTTAACTACACAACTCAACAGAATCATAGGACCTTCAAACACAGCAGACAAACTTAGTCAATATCAACCAAGTTTAGCATTCATAAGCACCGAGATTTTACTACATTCAGCAAAAAGAGCCAAAAAAAACTTGTTACATGTATGAATATATCTCAGCAGATTCACAGGGCCGTCAAACATGTGTGAACATGGATAAAAATCAGAAATATCTGCATGAATGGAAATGGTGTCTTCTAATTATATACGTGTTCATCCTGTTTCCATTAATTCTATTTCTAAATATCAATCTTGAATTGATTTTTATTCCCATAGGTTTTGCGCCTTCTTGAAGGAGAAAGTGATAATTTCAACCTCTTAAAGGAAAAGTTTGTGCCTCATTATACAAAGCGCTGAAGAACTACTTTATTTCCATTTTCTATATGGTACTATTTAATGTTTGTGTCTCATTATACAAAGCATGCATGTGAATATTCTCCACCATCTACGAGAAAAGGAAAGACCCATGCATCATGTCGTTCTTCGATTCACAATCTCAGTAACTTATGCGAACACTGTCATAGCCTAAAAGGAAAAACTGATGTATCATCAGTGGCGGATCTAGGAGTTTTCCTGGGGTGTCTACTTATTACAGTGGATGTCTGCTGGGTGTTAAGTGTTGGCTGGCTGGATATTGGATAGTGGCAGTGAATATAGTATTAGGGAATTAAAAAAGATATGTTTAAGGAAAAATTCTAGGGTGTTCAAGGGAAAATTTTGGGAGTGTCTAGTGAAAAATTTTCCTTTAAATTTTTTTATTTTTCAATCTTTAAGGATATCCATTGACACCCTATTATAGCATTAGCATTTGTATCCGCCACCGTGTATCATACTGTTTTTGCGATTTAGTCTTTCAGTAACACTTTTAAACACTGTTATAGTCTAGTATGTCAATCTCCTAGGCTTGACCCTGATTGCTGTACTTCTCTTATTAGAACTGGATTAAAACCTTAACCTGTGGATGTTTGTTCTGAGATTGTAAGCAAAAGGCGTAAGTATCAACCAAATTGGAGCTTTGGAAAAAAAAGTTGTGTCATCGCATAAATCACCATGAGAACATGGAAAAACTAGGGTCATGACATCTTAACATTTAAAGCAGAATTCAATATGAATTCCAATAACTATTCTTCTTTGCTATTGATGATTGCATATATATATATGCTTCTCTGCAACTCTTTCCCATGAGAAAGAGTATTAAGTTACAATCATTTCATACATAAAATAAGGAGAAAAACATGATCCACTTATTCTTTAATGACAATCAAATTTTTACTTTGAATTCATGATTTTATTGTCATAATGTCTAGGTTGGAAAAACTGTCCCATTAGACACAAAAATTATAAAATCGCCATCAATTTTTTTATTTAAGTGTAATTGATTACCTATATGAATTCAACAAAACTTAGATTCAGAAATTAGTTACATGTAGGAAAGATATTAATATCCTTTTATGCCTAAAATTAGTATCAAATTAATTATACGTTATCATGCCTAAGGTTTATCAAAAATGGTTTTATCATTCACATAAATTTACACAACATAGTGATGCAAAAATTATATCAAGATATCATGCAATAAATATATCAAGATATCATGACAAAAATTCATGCAATAAATATAAACTCATACCATGCAAATATAATATAAATCATACCATAAATATAAAATCATACCAGGCAAATAATAAATAATCATGTAAATAATAATCACGCAATCACACAGATAAATATGCAAATAAATAAATTAATCATATAATAATCATGCAAATTAATATATAATTAGTTGAATAATATATATTTATCATGCAAATAATATATATAATCATGCAAGTAAGAAATAATTATGCATTCATACAAACAAATATATTAATAATCATGTAAATAAATATATTAATAATCATGCAATTAAATTAAATTCATGCAAATATATTAATCATACAAATAAAATATTAGTCATACAAATTCATGTAAATATTCAAATCCATACAAAATATATATTAAAACAAGTAATTAAATTTATGCAAAAGTAAATACCATGTAAAAACTAAATAAATAGCATGCAAATAATAAATAATCTTTACATTTTTTTCAATTCTCCATTCTTAAATAATTCAATCACACAATAAATAAAAATAGAAAATATAAATATAAATAAAATAAAGCCAAAAATTAGAAAATAAAATAAAAACCAAAAATAAAAATAAAACTTTGCAATCAAATTGAGTTTGACCCTGGGTCAACATGTTGTCCTCCCTCAAGTTCACGTAGGTCAAGGGAGTAAAAACGACACCGTTTGTAACTTGTATAAAAGCAAAAAAAAAAAAAATTTTCTCAAAACCCCTCTGCTGCTTCTCTCTCTAACTTTAAGATGCCCTTCATTCTCTTTAAAACATTCAACCATGAAATTCAACAAACCCAGAAAATGGCCACAAAATCTAGATTTCGACGACAAGAAATTTAAACTGTCACTGAAAATTCAAACAATCTAAAAAAAAAACCACCAACCCAAAAAATAGCTATAGACATCGAATTTTGTCTGAGTCTACTAAATTAAATTTTGTTTTTAAGTTTTGCTTATTAATATTGAAATTAATTAATAATTGTATATAATAATTAATAATAATTAAAAAAAAATAAAAAACAAAAACAAAAAAAAAATAGAAGACTGGGGTTGCAGTGGTGCCTTGCATAGCTCCACTGGCCACCCACCCCATTGTTCACCCACCGACCATACCCTGCACTACCAAAACCCTTACCCTACTATACCCTGCAAACTCTATTCACCCCATCAACACTCTTAAACCACCACGCTATAGCCTCATGTGCTGTCAATCCTAGATCTCTACAAAAACCAGTATAAACTCTCAATCAAGGGGATAGAGAGGACTCGAAGCACTGATTTCCCTTTTCCCTTCACTCGTGCACAAAAACCTTCGGGGACCTCTCGAACATAGACTCAAACACCCAAAGTCCCAGCAACCAAACCAAACCCCAACTCGACCCAACTACACCTCTGCCTAGTCACCTCATCACCCATAGCCTTTGCCCATTCAAGACACCATTCTGCAAACCACAATACCAAGCTCTTACCCACATAGACATCCAAGCCAAAACACACACAAAAATATAAAAAAAAAAAACACAGTCCTCCCCGTAAAGAGGAACCAAGTGCCAAAGTGATACTTGCAAAAGAAAAAAAATACATTAGTTGTAGTTTAAAAAAAATAAAAAGGAGACTGAAAGCTTCAAGCCTCGATTTACGTCAATCGAAGCTATTTTCAATGAAAAGAAGATCGGATCCACAAAGAGCACATTGAAGGGAGTTTTTGAAATTTTCGACCATTGGACTTGGTGGCCACCAGCAAGTTAACGACGGCCCAACCACAGGAATCTGGAAGGCTAACCAACTATGGATTTTTAAGAGAAAGGATTTTTTTTTGGCAGAAAAGATCAAATGCGTTAAAAAAATTGGTTTTATATAGAAAAGTAAAACCCCAAATGACGCCATTTAAGGTCAATGAGGATCCGCGCGTGGACTCGGATCTGACTCGAGATTCGTGCAACCCGATCCAGCGACTCGCTTCAAACAGCCTCTAACTGATCTAGACGAATCACCAGTGAACCGATTCAAACTGATCAAAACTGCCAAACTGCCAAGCAGCTCAGACTAACATTGACCAAATCGTTGATCAATTCGATTTAGGTTTTTTTTTTTTTTTATATTATTATTTTTGGCATTTTAAGTTTTATTTTTTTAATAGTCATGCATGATAAAGTTTTAAATCTATTAGAATAAATATTTGATTTTTTTAATAATAAAAAAATAATAATAATAAATAATGATAATAAGAATAAAATAATAGTTTTTTATTTTTCCTGCCTAGATGTTGGAAGGAATAAAAAAATATATAATTTCACCTGAATGTTAAGAAATTATAAAAAAATTAAAATTTAAAATATATAAAAGAAGATATTAATAATAATAAATTTTCATAAAAAAAGAAATATATAAAAAATTTTAATTAATTTTTGAAAATCATAAAAATCGAACTTGCTTTGAAAATTCGCCTAGATGTTGGGGATTTTTAGAGATATTCATTTTTTTTAAATTAAAAAATCTAAACTTTAAAACCTTAACCCTTAAACCAAAACTCTAAAATCCCAAACCTTAAAATCAAAAATCCTAAATCTTAAACCCTCCAAACCTAAAATTAAAAAACTTAAACCCTTTAAATCAAAGAAAAGTCCAACCACCCTCGTTAGAGAAAGAAATCCCTGTTCTATTTGTCAATTCCTTGAATACTTTTTATTATGAAAGAATGATCGGGAATGTCTTCAAAAGTTTTTTTGACAAGGTGATTTCTAGCGAGATTATAAAAGAATGCAACCAAGAATGGCAAGATTAAGTTGAAAGATGCAATAGATGTTGAAATAGGCAATACATCATAAAATAATGAAGGGAAAGTGCAAGCAGTCATAATAGAAGGGTATCTACCCAATAGTTTCATCTCGTACAATCCATATCCTTTTCATCAACCTCATCACCTTGTCACAAGTAATATTTCTCATAACTCATATCCTTGCCAACCAAGCCAACATTTACGCTTTCTAGCAAATTCTCATCCTTAAATGACCATTTATGATCTTGTTCCTACATTTGAACCCACCACTTAACCAACAAAGATTCAAAAGAGACCAAAAAATGATCAAGACAAATTGCCCATCCCTATTTTTCACTTTTTACCTTTACTAATAAAAGGTCGGTATCTCAATTTTGTGCCTCTAAAAACAATACCAAATCCATCAATAAGGAGTTATGATCCCAATAGCAAGTGTAATTATCATATAGAGGCAATCGGTTACTCAATTGAAAAATACAAAGAGTTGAAAGAAAAGGTTAAAGATCTTATCATGAGTGGTATTCTGACTCCAGAAGTGATAGAACAATGGAAATTGACTCCATCCAATTGTCAAATGTGAGGAATTGAGATGAAGAAAGAGGTCTTGAGTTCTAAAAAATAAAGATAGGATGATTTTCTTTTGAATTTGTTCATTGTTTATGTATAACGTGTGCATGGTGTCCCAAGAGTTATCTAACTTATTTTGAAAAAATTGTTTGCATTGGATCTCTTTTTTGAAGTTTTTGTCTTAATGCATTTATTTGAATAAAAAGTCTCACATAAGTAACTTTTAAGAAAAAAAATAAAAAATAAGAGATAGAGAAAAAAAGTTTTCTTTTGTAATAAGGATGGAATGATTCTTAAGGGAAATGGAGATTACTATTATGAAAAAGTTCATCAAAAACCTTCATACCTTTTTGAATACTTTTATACCCATAATCACTTAAATGATTGAAC